CCTGCTGATACTGGTGTGCAGTCTGTATTACCAGCTCAGATCAGGAGTAAACAGCCTGAGGTACAATAATATCTGTTGTGTGCTCTCAGTAACCATCCCAGTCCTCATCCTCTGGGCTTCCTCACAGCATTGTTTCTCTCTTTAAAAAAAAAAAAAAACCAGCCACACCAATCTGATCATTGCAAATTCCTCCTTACATCACAAAGCCAAGAGTTGGGCTTTGGGAACATAAGGACATAACTCCGAGGGCTGGTGGGATAATCTGAGTTACTGCAATACCAGCAACGCTTGAACTGGTGTTATTTTGTTGCCCAGGTGTGCCCCACTGCTATGGCCATGTTGGGACTAGGAGAAGGGTGCACATGTAACATGGGTGTTTGTTAACTGCATGCTAAAATCCTTGCAGATGTGAAACAGATGTAATTCTAATACTCTAACTGGTAGCATAAATGATCTAGCGTTTCCACAGAAATTCATTACCATAGAGATACTCTGCCTAAAAGCGAAAAAAGTCAAAGGTAGGAATTCCCAAAAAGAAAACTCCACAGAGAGAACAGCGTACTCGATGAAAATATAATGCAGTGACACTCTCTTACCAAAACCAATTTCATCCAGCTGAAGACCATACAGAAAGCCATTCTTATTAAGAAATGCCTGAAGGCTCTTCTCCTTGGCTTGCCCTATGGTGTCACAGTCCAGAACATTAACTTGGATAGTTTGACAGGCATCTCCACTCTCGTTTTCTGGGATTTTCTCGAAGATGATGTTCACTGTCTGTGGAAAGAAACTTATGTTATTCTGACTTACAGGGAACACTGGCATGGGAAACTCCTGCTGGCAATCCCGATAGCATATCAGGTTAGATGCATTCCATTGGGTTTTCAGAATATTCATTTATTAAAGCCATTTCAAATAAAGATTGTTTGATGGAATTACACAATGAAGCATTTAGAATTCCTTGTGTCTGAAGAATCAAATGTAAACAGTTGGATATTTCCAGAAGTGCATTTTGTATTTTGCTTTTCTGCAAATCTATTTCAGTGCATTACTGCAAAAGACAGGAGACCAGGAAAAATTATAATGTATGCTTTTAAAAAAAAAAAGCATGTCTTTTATTTAAAATGAATGCCTTAAAAGCAAAACTGTAAGTGATTAAAGATCTGATAAGGTTGCTAAGCAAGTCGTCATGGTAAGCACGATTGATTTTGAGTAGATCGAAAGCAATGTTAAAGTGCACGTATACACCAGAAAATTAAGTCATGTACTTTATATGATGCAAAAAAACCCCCTCCTCTGTAGATATCAGTGTCTGTCTGCATATAGCCATGTCTCTGGAGGCAGCAACCTTCTGCAGAAGCAGTGGAAAGGGAAACTATGTTGCAGCAGACACACTCCAAAGTGGTCCAGACTTGCACAGAAAAGTGTGAATTTATTCCGTTGGCCATCACTGCGGCTCACACACCCACACAGCCTGTGCAGTTAAACTACCCCTGCCCTTTAGCTGCTCTTCCCTGGGAGACAACTCCTCTGCTGGCCTACACGCAAGGCGAGCCTGGGGCTGGAGGGAGGTGTCAACTCAACTGGAGAACATCTCTGGGGAATCCTCTGGTCTGACCAGGCACATCAACTGCTTCCAAAAGGGACAGAAAGAAGGATGAGCCCAGGATTGCTAAGGCAAGGCGTTAACAGCAAAGATTTCCGATGCTACAGCCTGCTCCTTGCAGAGACAACATTGCTGCTCAGCTACACGAACATGGAGGTTCTACTGCAGCTGTCTCAGGACAGAACTAGAACAAGTGTTTTAGATGCCAACATCTGTCTGCAAGTGAGACAGGAAAATCTGTGTACTTTGAATCCTTCTGGCTGTTGGACACTTCTAGTCTAATAAATATCTTGTGATAGAGGATGGAGGGCTGTGGGTGTGGCTTAGTAAAGGAGTGATTGTTAGAAGAGGAAGCAACTAAAAACAGCTTTTTTTTTTTTTGCTATCATGTGAGGGAAAGAACTTCTGTCAGGTTGCTGCAGGGGCCTGCTCTCTCTCTTCTTAGAGAAAAGAATAGTTATTAATAGCTGTAGAGTACTATTTTGTGCTTTACTACCCAGCAAGAGTGGAAATTATCACACGCTGGTGGTGAGAAAAAGTAGTCTAGTGAGGCATGCATGAACTTTACTGTTTCTACAGAAGCACAGAAAGTATTGAAAACAAGGTGGCAAAACTATAAACATCAGAATGTAATGCACACTAGGACATAACTGAAGTAACTGAGACTGACTTAATCAGGACACGGAGATGTTTAATTGTTAGCAAAATGACTCTACTGAAAGGACAAACCAAACAGAAGAGGAGGAGACACAGGACCAGTGCCTGCAGAAGGAGACATGGGCTGGATGCCATGCCTCGGGGTGGGATTTCATGTGGGAAAATGAGTCAAAAAAAAATCTATTGGCGCAGGAGCGAGGGAGATATGCTTGGCTAGACCCGCAGTCCCACTCTCACAGACAACTGTCCTGTCCTTGACTTTGACTGCCCTGAAGGCAGGGTCTTGTAGGATAATAATAAAAACTCTCCCCTACGTTTGAATCCAAGTGCTTGTCTCTTCCAGTATCACAACTCATCTTGCAGGGGTAGCTCCTCACTCTTTAACTGGTTTTGATTTGGCTTTACCCCCTTGGAAATGTCCTGCTGCATAGCTGATCCTTCTGTCCTAACATCGTTCCTGTGCTGCAATGTTCATGTTCCTGTTCCTCCTGCAATTTCTCTTCCTTCCTGGCTCCCACGAGAAGCTGTCCTTTCCTTTGCTGCGTTTGCCTTTCAGCCCATACTCTCACACAGACTGCACACAAATGTGCTGCCTCTTCACTTATTAGCATGTGAGAATCCTCCCATCCCTGCTCAACTCATTGTCAGGCAACAGGACTGCAAGAAGAGAGTGCTAATCCTTTACGTAGGTGGCATACAAGTCTTTCATGTACTCCTTAATCAAAAGCATCCATAATGTGAGGATAATAACAACACTTTACCACTCAAAGAAGTGGTCAGATGGGAAGAAATAGTCATATAAACACATATAAAGAGTCTCTAAACCAAGAGAGGCAGGCAGTTTTTCTGATACAATTTCTTGCAAAAGTTAATCTTAAGTGATGAAACAATTGATAGGGAGCTAGAAAAGCCAATTATTATTATGTCTTCTCTCTACAGTTGAAGTTTTCATAAATCAGATTCTACCTGCCTGATAGCACAATGCCTGGCTTTAGAAACCATTAATCACAAGCCAACTGTCACAATCACCGCATTTCGACACTAAGTGCAGAACTGGAAGAAGAATCAGAAGTGACTGTAAAATAATGAACAATTAACCCTTCTACAATTAACCCTGAAGGTCAGAAAACATCAGAAAAAAAAGCAGAGAAGGACACATGGAAGTCCTGAAGAAACACCATAAGGCTGTTTTCTAAGCTAACTTTGCAAAGGAAACTCAAAAGAAGTACAAGTAAATTTATGGAAAGACTCAGGAGGAAATTACAGGGCATTTGATGCAACCTAGTAATATGTAGAGTCGAGATTTCATGCACTAAAAATTAGTGGTTAGCAACAGAAAGTCACAGTGCTTTTCACCAAAGGCTTAACACAGGTTGCAAGAATTGTTAAAGGCTGTTTAGGGGGAACAAGGCAGGCATCTGGAACTACTCGTATGGGAACTAGCTCGGAACCCACCTAAAACACAGGGGGAAAAAAAATTCTTCACTTATACAATGATAGTAATAATGACATTTGAAGGCAATTTTTACTGATGATCTTTCAAATTTCGAGTTTTCCTGAAAATGAATTTCAAACAATGAATTACTTAGGCAAGTAAAGCCATTAATAACTGTAGCAGATGATAAATGAGAGGTGGTTTATTAAAGAAATGTTGTAATACAATTTTTTGTTAGATGTAAAGAAAAATCATCTGGAAAATACAAAGGCTCTTAGTCAGTATCCTGTTTCTATTCAGCTATGCATCTGAACAAAGCATATTTCCATTTATCTGACAAACTGAGAAAATGAGGGAAACTTTTGTTCCTTAAAGGAGAATCATGCAAAGGAGACTGCACCGTAACATGTAATACAGTGAAATTGCCTTAAACCTACTCCCGTGTGTCCCAGACTATGAAATGCAATGAACAGGAAAAGTCAGATTCATCTTTTGATCCTTCAATAGCAGCCAGAATAGTTCTATAACCCACCAAGAGGTTATAGAACAGCCAACAAATTGGCAGAGAAAATGTTATGGGAGTTAAATTAAGGCTAGATAGGCACCACACAATGTAAAAGTTGCACCCTGATGCTACAGGATGGTCTTCAGTCTGTATCTAATTCACAATTCTCTCCCGTCATCAGTATTTGCACTGCTCACTTCCTAGCAAGGACTGCTGTGTCCTTTTCTGCTGATGAAAATCCCCATATGTCACATGCCTTTTAATAGTTTCCTATCTCTCACAAAGTGTGACCAGTAATACCACATCATGATGATCTATTAGGAAATTGGGTTCCCTTTCTCTGCTTGACTCCCTTACAGTCATCCCACTTCTTTAAACACCCTTCTTTTAACTAGTGAAGCAGTTGAACACTTTAAACGGTCTTCTACCATGCAGCTTTGCTTCACTTTCAATAAAGCCCGTTGGCTGAAAGGGTACATTAGATCATTTCTTCCCATCTGAAAATACAAGCTGGTTTCAGCAAAGAAAATTCAACAGCCCAAATCCCTTTCTACAAAGTAAGCAGCAAATTAAGAGAAACTTGTAGCTCTTAAATGTCCTAGCACTAAGTCTTCTATATGAAGAAGTCCTCCCCTGTTTTCCACAGGAGAGACTCCACCAAGAATATCTCCAAGGTCAGGATCACATTGTGTAGGTTTTCTATTTAAAATGAAACATTTCTGCGAAATACTAACACTCAGCTGTGCACAGAGCTTTTCGTCAGTCATTGGGCACATTATTCACTGAGGGGTGCAGCTGCTTGCCTGCCTGTGAGAAAGCAGGCTTGTCTCCTCTGCCTGTGAAAGGCTCCATGACACATCCAAGCCTCTTTCAAGGCAGTTTTATTTCTCAGTAATCAGATATAAGCACAGCATGAAACCACACAGCTCCTCAGCTCATCCTGGACCAATGCTTTTAGAAGCATCTTTCTTTCAACTCCTCGGCTTGAGTATTTACTTCAGAAGCCCATCTCTATTCAGGCCTTTGTAGAGAGCACCTGACACTTTACAGCAGAGAGTGGTAACTGCAGGGGGCTGCCTGGTCCCAAGGTCCGTGGTCTTTTTTGAAAAGGCAGGCAGCTGGGTCAATGGACTGTTCTAACATAATTCAAAACCAACACATTCCTTAGTTCTCTTCTTCCTGTTACAAATGGCCTGAATTTTAGAAAGTCTCTCCTGCCCTTCCTTCTTCATGCCCAGCACTTCTTCCTTCTCCTGTCCCAAGAGCCTACCTGCACAGTGGTGGGTTTCGGAAAAGACCTGTGGAACTCCCCCTGATTTTTAGGAGCGTGCCAGTACCCTCTTTTTAGTACTACGGGATTTGCAGGCAGAATGCCTACGAATTGCCTTGGCTGTGGCCTGCTTCTCTGCTTCTTCAAGTGTCTATATACCTTAAAATTTTGGCACCGAGTGTCTGCACGTTTGCCTCAGTATCTTGCTACCACTCTTGCTATGGCTGTTTTTTATACCTTGCTTTGGACAGGTACTCTTTAAAGTTCAGCTATTCTGGGGTCTTGCAAAGGGGCAAAATAAAATACTTACAAAGTATTGCAAGACTCAATGCAGTGAGCAAGTGTGCAAATGCATTTGAAAAATCCACCTGGAATTTATCTGATGTAGAAAACAGTAATTGCAACCTTTTAGACAGAGATGTACTTCCAAAGAAAGCAGGAAAAGATACCTAGTTCCCTATATGTATACTCACAGGTCCTGCATGTCATTTCAGTGCATGTGAAACTGCATCAGTGAGAGAAGAAAAGCTGACTCCTTCCATTTTAGCACCCTGTTAAGTACTGTTCTTCAAGGAAAGAAGTGCACAGCTGGCTTGCCTCCACAGCCCAAAAAGCCTCACTGTTCCACCCAAATCCCTTTCATCGCACAGCTTTAGTTTTCAACATAAATCTTAGACAAAACACCAAACAAAACCATTCCCCTCTCCAGCCAGAACTGGCATCCCTGGCTCCATCTGCATACTTCTACTGCAGGGTCCTCTCTCCTTTTTTAACAGCCTTGCAAGGGAATACCCAGACCCTTCTCATCTGGGTCTGATAAACCACTGGACGTTAGAGGGGCAAGCTGCCTTATTAACCTTGTATCAGTGTCACTATCTCCTGTTTAAAAGCAGGATTACAAAGGCAGTGAACAATATTCAAGAAAGGTTATCTTGTTCTTTCATTTCCTCATCCATTCGCAGACAGCCTTCCCTGCAGATACTGAGCCTTTCAGACCACTTCCTCTCTCTTTTCTTTAGCGCAGGCTACCCACAAGACCTAGCAGTAACTGCACGCATAGAAGTAGCGCTGGGAAAGGTACTAAGGCAGCGTTCAGTAAGTTCAGACTCAGCTATCCCCCAAGTGTGCGTGTGTGCTAGAAATAACAAGAGCCAATCGATATCACAGCACCAGACATTCCTGTGTAGTCTGCTGGTAACAGGCCTATTGATCTTGCCTCAAAACTCCTGCTCTGCCTAACTACTGCGTTTTGTACCCTTTGGCTATACGCAGAATATTTAAACTTACCCTGGCTACCAAATGAATGTCAGAATGCAGTGCACAAACAAGGAAACCAAAGATACTGTATTTTTTTTCTACTAATATTTAGTCACAGACTTCCTTTTGAAACATATTCTGTGGTAATTTGGCAGCTTTGTAAGCAGCTGTAAGAAGATTTCACCATAAATTTGTCAGCTCAAGAGCTTTTATCAGAAAACAACAAGTCAGAAAAGTTTCGGAGAAAATTAGTCATTTCAGCGAGCTTCCTAAATGAGCCAGCCCTTGTCCTAGCTAGTTCAATGGGTTGCTGATCAGCCAAAATTTTCAGGGTCATGTAGTCCACTCCAGCATGTGGCATCTTACGACCTCCAGGTTCTTGCTGCAAAAATGGAAGAGTGGCAGAGCTGGAAACTCCAGCCCTATTTAAGGCTCAGGGTCTTGGCTCTGGGAAGGCCTGACTTTTCCTCCAAAGGCCATGGAGATGTGACTCTGGCAGTTTCTTTTCCCAGCCTCTGAGGCTCACTATTCAGTCACACTTCCCATACTCCTAAGTATGTCTCTGATAGGAAGTTGAGAAGCAGGGAAGCCGTGGAAGTGACTGGAAATGCAGAGTTTTAAGTTCTCAGACTCAAAATCATTTGGAAATTCTGGAAACAAAGTGCTCTGGTTATTCTGAAAAGCTTTTTCAGACCTGCTCCTCAAAAAAAGTCAGAATTTTTACATGCTCCAAAATGCAATAATCCTTTCTGTTCCTTCTCCCCTCAATTTCAGAATGTCAGCTATCAAGAAGAGAATTGCAGCTTTCAAAGAGATTAAGGTGTCAGCGTAAGACAGTACACACTTTGCTTTTGTAGTTGCTTTGGGAAAGGCAAGAAATCTATGGTAAAGTTCAGAAACTTAGCTAAGTTTCGCAGAGATTTTGTTTTTAAACAAGCAAGTAATTAAAACCCACCATACTGTGTAACCTTTCTAATTTGGAGCGCATAACATGGAAGCCCACGGCAAATTACTGCTGCCTGAAGATTAGCCACAAGTAAATACAATAGAAAAATAAACCCCCTGCATTCCATCCATTCATTCATGAGAGAAGTGCAATTTAGTTTCGATTCAAAACATATGTTTACATTTTTGTAGTACACTTTAAAATAATAGGGAAATTTTAATACTTTGAGACTTCATTAAGTCTTTGGCTATTACAGCATGCTGTGAACTGAAGAGCAGCTGCTATTTGTGAAACATATATTGGTGAAACACCAGTTAGCTTCAAAATGCAATAGAATTAACTGTGACTATAATAATAATTCTGTTTTGCTCTATCCAGGTACTTAACCATCACTTTAGTGTCTAAGAGCCTTAATTTAGCTTCCTAGAAAAAGAGAGAATGCTGTAGCTGTCTTGTTTGGAGGGAACGCAAACGGGCAAACATACCACTGCTTTGAATTCAGACACTTGCCACAGCAGCCAGTCTTCGTTCAGCGTGTACAGGGCCTTGCACGTTATTGCATCGACGGGGCCTTTGTTTATCCTCTGATTGAGGGTTGTCACTAGCGAATAGAAAGGTTCACCAATTGTCTCCTAGGATGTGAAACAAACATAAGAAACACGTTTATTTTCACAATCACTAAACAGGCACGAATAACTAGAAGAAAAATCAGATTAAGCAACAGATTAAGTTATCTCCTTTTAACCAAGTTTTTATCTTGCAATTTGAAAAGAAAATCCCTCTGAGCAGATTTATCTGGTTATTTGTTTAACCTCCATCATTTGCTTTTCAGTGTGAGAGTCTCATGCAAATAGCAAGGGACACCTGGCGCGTGTGGCAAGCCAGCTCGCAGCCCCTTGCTGCGCACGAGCACACCACCGGCGAGCTGCTCCTACTCCACCTAGCAGCCGCAGCCTAGTCCCGCAGCAAAGCGGGTTGGGGGCCAGACATGCAAGTGTTCCCAGGCGTAGTTTAGAGACCTCTTCTGTTCCAGTCTTGTGAAAGAACAAGCTAACATCTAGCTTCCTTTCAAACTGGCTTCTCCCCTTGTGGTCCCTGAAAAAAAGCCTTGGGAGTGAGGTGGCAGGGCACGCACTGGTGTATTAGGGACAGAGGAGACAAAATTGGGGCTTCCCTCTCCTGCCTGAACCCCACGCTCCAGGCAGAGAGCTGAGAAAGGAAGGATGGATCTTTGTTGCCACATGACACCAGTCCTTCAGCCCAGCTAAGGGTTATTGAGAAGACATCTCCCCTGACTCTCCCTTGGCTCTCTCCTGGAGTTCGGGAAACCGGCATGAGTTGCTGCCCCCAAACTGTTATGCTGCTGTATTAACGGCAAGCGCAAGGATTGATATGAGCAATACCAACAGCGCGATACCATCATATGATGAAACGGCACCAGAAGCCTAGCCAAACACTGAAACCGAGAACGAAGCGCTACCAAGTGGGTTACAATAAACAAACTGTAAAATGAAAGAAAATGTTTATTTTGTTTTCCCCTGAACTTATTTAATTCTTGAAACCTGCAACGTTACTTGAAGATTAAGAAGTTTAGAAAGGAGCTTAGTTTTCCAAAATACATTATTCCTTAAATTTCCACCAAATAGTAGCTTTCCAATGGCTCACACATGAAGGTACGAACTGCATTTTAACAAACGTGTCAGTCTTTTAAGATGATCAGAATACAACTCACTGAGATCAAGCAATATCTGACATGAGAAAAGGATATGCTAGAGCTGCAAAATTACCCAGAACTCAGCCAAAAAGATAACATGTTCATCACTTACATTCCTGCTCTTTTCCTACATCCCCTCGATGCTAGACTGAATGCATTTAAACAGATCCGTCTAGCATTCCTTACGGAAGAAATCAACTAAAAAATATTCTCCATTTGTGTATCTTACAGGGTGAAAAGATGTACACATACCCGGAGAAAACCAGAAAGGCAGACAGACATCCAGTTTGTCAGCAACTTTTCTACCACAGTTTCTGTTTGTCTGAGCAGGAGTTTAGGCTGGACGTTGCTTGACTGTTCCATCAAGTCCTTCGTCAACACTTCCAGAATATGGGTTAGATAAACTAGCTTAGTTTGTAGTGCAATAGTCAAGAAAGATGCAAACAAGCACCTGTTTAAAACAAAACAAAAAAAGAGAGAGAGAGAGAATGCTAAATTGCTTGTGATTTTTTTTTTCCAAATCATCTGTAATAATAGAAACACCCTTTAGCATCATTCCTATCCTAAGCTTTCCTTCCTCAGGGACTCAAACCGCCCTCTGATGCAAAAATATAAAAAAATTCAGGTCCATCTGTCCCTATGATTATTTTTTTAAACACAAGATTTGTGCCTATAACTTTAACTCTGCAGAAAAACACCTGTTTCAGTGACAGAACATTTCTAAACTGTAAAACTGCTGATCTAACTGCAGGAACTGTTTACAGTTTTGAGGTGAATTTTCCTGCTCCTTGGCCTCTGTGTTTACATGTACAAACATTCTGATTTCTCTTTAATGGCTTCTTTAACGGCAATGTCTTTTCTTCCTCAGTGTGTGCAGGTGGAGAAAATGGAAAAATACTCTGGAATAACGCAAACTTGTTTTGCAAGACGTGGAAGTTACATTTGCGTGTCACAATCCATGCTGGTTTTTTCTGTTAATTCTTTGTCTTGAAGATGATAAGCATAATCATACTATACCTGTCTTTCACAGAGAAATTTTTCTGCTTTTCAAGGGTGTGAATGAGAGTAACAAGAAAGTTCTTGTTACAAATTAAAGCATGCAACATGTTGAAGCTTTCATCCTTGCGCGTTTGGTCTCTCCTCTGGAATAGTTAAACAAAAACAAGCAAACTGTAGTTTGGCTATGATGGCTTCTTAATGCTTAAAAAAATGATAAGCATATAGGAGATAAAATCCTGGTCTCAGTCAAATCAGGGAGAGTTTTGTACTTATGTCATGGGTCCCAGGATTTTACCTAAGATGTATTTGTGTCTGTGTACAACATACAAGAGTACACACATGCAGAGCACACATTTTCTTTAAATACACAAAGTAATGCCAATAGTTAAGTTTGCCTGTAATTTCTCATTAATAGATTCTGTTTATCTTATTTAAACAAGCCATAATATACATTAGGTAACAGAATCTTATATTTCAAATTCTTTTGTATACATAAATCCATGTAACCCTCCCCATGGGGGAAGGGAACATATGCAATCTGATAGGAATATGACAGCACTGAGATGAGGGATGCAATCACATGTGGAAAACATTTATTAACATGTATCACATTACATTGACTTACCTGTGGCATGTCGTCAGTGAAGATGGATGCACAGTCTCCTGACTAAAATGCAAGAGAGGTGATATTTCATTCTGATATATACCAAAAGCTTCTAACACAGGCACATTAAACATGCTAAGCATGTTCCTCATGGCATAAAATTTGAACTCAAACAACGGAAGCTCTGGTTCTTAGTGTGGCTACCACATATATATTCTACACAACGACAAAGGTGCTGTCATGTTCACTCACACACACACAGACACACACACAGACACACACACATACGCACTGACACACTCTTAAATACAAACTGTGAAACAACCAGAACAAAGGTAAAGGTTAAAAATAATTGCAAACAGGGAGCAAGCATAGTGGTATTAAACCAAAGAATATGGGAAAAGGTAAGAAGGCAGAAATAATAAGCCAAATTTAGCAAGTAAAGAAAAAAATCAGACTGAATATAAGGAATAATTTATTAAAGCCATAATATCCATTTAACTTAATACCTACAAGCATTAAGCACAAAGCAAAAACTATAAAGCCAGATTCAATATAGAAAATGGAAGCAGCAGAAAGCTAGAAGTTAGAAATGAAGATGAGATCTGTCACTTAATTTTAGTTATCTGACTCCCTCTTTCAGCAGTTCATCCCATCCAGAGACAGATGTCTTGGGCAAGTGGGATGAATCACTTTCTCAAGCTGCCTGTCTCTCTGCCCTGACTACAGAAAATGCCTCAGTGAAAACCTCTGATATCCTTGTTTAAAAAGCTGAAATTAGATGAGATAAACCCCGCTGAACTCACTGGAAAGCAGAACGAGTGCAACAACACAGGCATAATTTAAACACATGAGGTTAGCAAGGGAAGTGCCGGTTTGTCACTCTGGCCAATCTGACGCCAGGTTGCTTTCTACTACTCCACGTTTTTTCCTGTTCACCCATAACGTTGGTTTGGTAGAGTGCTTCTCTCCTATAAAGCACAAGGCATGTTTGGACACTCCAGCAACGTAAATGATAACTACTTGGCAGCAAAAATTGGTACACAGCATGTTAAATAACTTGCCTGACACTACATGTCAAGCCTGTAGAGAGCTAATACTGCTGAGTTTACCTTTGTGGTATCAGTATTTCAAGCAGAGGCAGAGTCTAATTGGAAGGAAATGCAGGATGCAAGCTGGCATGAAACTCTCCAAGGTGAAAAATGAGCCCTTCCCCTTCTGACCTCACATAATGGAATAGAATGATATATTTTGTGCCTTTTTTCTTTCCTTTTTTATTTGCATAAAGCACTTCCACTCAGATTGCTTCTACAGGGTGTTACAGTTTGGACAGGGGCGTATCAGTAGGAAGAGAAGTATTCCTAAAAATAAAACGCTATTTTAATGCTAATATGCCTTGCAACAAAACAAACTGAAAGGAAATAAATGCAGAAAATAAGGTTTCATTGCTCCACTTTCTTCAAATCTCCTAATTACCACATACAAATTAGACTAGGGGCATCACGGCAGTATCAGGAGAAATATTCCCAACACCCTCTTGTGTGAGAAGTGGACTTAAAGTACATTAAGATTATGCATATGTAATTGTTAAATATGAACCTGCTTTGGCTTCTATTGGTATTTGGCATTGTAAAGACAGGGGTCCCAATTCTGTATCCATCACATGGGTTTAATTTTATCACACTGAGCTTTCAGTGGCACTATGCACAGCGATAAAGCCAACCTGCATGCAGGGAAGACTGCAGGACTGGGCCACAGCAGCGCCGCAGTGATAAGCAACATACATACTGGCTATAACTTAAACACCGCAGCCCTAACCACAGGTAGTAGCTCCTTGGTGTCAATTACACAACAAAATAATATTGACCGCAATCAGAGTTTCTGCCAGTTAGTAAATGCGAGTGAGCACTGGTTAACATCATGGTATAACTTTGAAAGCTGTGGCAAATATGCTTATCGACTTGGTAGTGTGCCACATACGCAAGAAAAATATTTAAGAGGGGTAGGACCCTTAAGAGAAAGTCTATCCAGTCTTCCCACGCAGAGGCACAAACACCTCCAAAGAACAATGTAAGTATCTACCCCTAAATTGGACAGCACTTAAGTACATACATAATTTTAAAGCATTTGGTATGTACTCTATAGAATCAAGGTGTTAACGTTCCTGGCAGCAGCTTGGAGTAGAACGTCAGAGTGACCTTCAGGCAGCCTTCCCCTCTCTTCATCTCACAGGTCTAATTAGGAAGTGTCATGATGTAAGTACGTTAGCTAACCTGACTGCTACCTGAATTAGCTGTAGCACAGGAGGCGAGTACACAAGAACAAAAAAGCAATAGATAAATTATAGTTGAGTTAGGATGGCCTCAAAGGCAGGCAGCTTAGTGAGGCTGGGCAAAAAAAAAAAAAAAAACACACATAACCCTTGAATATTCAAAAACAGTGCTTTAACCATAGCATTTAGGCTTGATGGAATGGAGATTTACAGCTCTAAACGCTCTTTGGTAGTTTTTGATTGTAGAAAAGTTTCTTGTGAGAACAGTATGTAATTATTGTGTAGTGTTTACTTTAGCTTTTTGATCCTGATCTCCCTAGTTTTTCATTTTTAGGCAGGACTGACAACCTGAAAGACTCGTAAATATTTACCTCTGGAAAGAAAGTTCTAAGAGCGAAGTGTTTGTAGTCAAGGAAGGGAACAGTTCCAAAACTATCCACCACGTCTAATTCATCCATCTGCAGTTCAGCAAATCCTGAAATAACAACCCCCCTCCCCACCCGGAGAGTTAGTTTAGTTTTCGCAGTTATAACTTAGCCCCAAAAGATGTTCCTTTAAAAAAGGAGTTTTCTGGCAAGAGGAGCTGTTTTTCTAGCTGAAGCCCTATGGGCTGGAAAGCACCAATTCATTTTTATTTTCACTTTTGTTGAAGGAAATTATTACATGCAATCCTACTAGCTTAGTGCTCTCTCCTATTGCAGTGCACACCAGCATTGAAGAGGAACTCTGATATTCACAACACAAAAATATTTTATTTCTATTTTATAACAGCTATAAAAACAAAAGGTTTGTATAAGGTGACTGCTTCTTGACCATTTCAGTTCAGAAAGTATACTGTACTTAAGCATTATAAAGCGCTTTAGACCTACCCTCGCGTATTTCCTTCCGAATCTCATACTCCAACAGTTCAAGTTGCTGACTCTGTTTACGCGTTAACTCTTTGGATTTGTATCTAGTAACTATGAATGCCGCTAAAAGGAGTGGAAAAAAAAAAGATGCTGAACATAGAAAAGTGCAGAACAGACGATCTCTATTTAAGACATACATTTTAATTTTCAGAAACAGAAAGATGAATAAACAGTTGCATTTTTCTGAAGGATTATTGTATCTAAAGTGCAGAACAGACGATCTCTATTTAAGACATACATTTTAATTTTCAGAAACAGAAAGATGAATAAACAGTTGCATTTTTCTGAAGGATTATTGTATCTGCTGTCACCAGTGTGGCAGTATCCATGAGCCCCAGTTAGCCGGATCTAAAACTACACTTTTAATAAAAAAATCTTTGTTATAAGGAGGTCTTAGAATCGGCAGTCCAACTTTATCTGAATATACAGCACAAACTCCCCTGTACAACTTGCACAGTCAGATAAAGAACCTAACAAGCACTACTAGCAAGCCATTTAACATAGCACTGATCAAACAGGAAAAGTAGTTGTTTTGAACAGGAAATCTACTTCCAAACCGTTAACTTATTGAAATCTATTTTGAGAGAGGAAAGGCACTAGAGATGGTTCCTGTAAAGGCGATGCACATTTTAAAGAGAAACCCAACCAGCAAAAGAACTACTACACCCTATGTATATTACAATAAAACAAAATTTATCAGAATTGTAGCAGAATCGAGAAGGAGTGACAAAAAAGGAGAGGACATCTCCTTACCCCCCTCATTTTGATAATGATCTACAAATGCCTGAATCACCCAAATGAGACGGACCAGAAACACCTCAAACACTGCCTGAGGATAAGCGGTTTGATAGGGAACGTCTGCCCTCAGGGACAGGATGGGAATCTAATTCGGACAACTGGAAATGCCTGAGTTGTGACTCAAGAATTTAGATACAAGGTCTTGCCTCATTAAATGCTGGTGAATAACCCTAGAAGAACGGCCAAAAGTAGTGTTGTAACATGCTGTAGCGTAGCAAGATGAACTTCACCACCAAACCAGAGTTAACTTTCTCCACTCGCATTTAGAGCAGGGGAAAACATTAGATTGTTTGTGACTGTCGCAGACATATATATGTGTGTGTTTGAGTAGTAACCATCTCCTTCAGAAAAATCAAAAACTGAAAACACATTACTGTACTTACCTATAATGACACCCACTACAATAGGTAGTAAAATAAGGACGTACAAATATATGTGTGATGATGTTGGTTTGACTTCATGCTCAAAATTTCCTAATTTGACCTAGAGAAAAATAATGGCTGTGTTAGTACAGGGCAGATGCTGTACCTATGCTCAAGATGACATTTAAAGTATAAAAAAAAAAAAAAACGGTCTTCTGGGCACATGAGGGACCCTAGCTCTGCAGATCACTGGGAAGATAGCAACAACTGGGAAAAACATGTGAATCAATACAAACTTAACTTGTTACTGTATCTGATGTTTAAGCAGGAGAACACAACAGTGCTAAGAGAAAAATACGGAAGTCCACATGGAGCACCAAATGTTGCCATTGTTCCCACTGCAAACAAGAGTCCTCAGATGAATTCTGAACCAGGGCAGAGTCTAGCCTCAAACCGGCCAAAGGACTCACGCGCTTCAGAATCACTGCTAAACACTTTGGCATTTCAAGGCTCTTGCTGAGAGTTAAAAACACTTCTTTGAACTCACAGTGTTAATCTGCTGAGCAGAAAAATAAGGTAAGACTCAAGCTGATAATCAGGGAAGTAACATTTTTGATAGCGGCCTTGCCCACAGACCTCTTCTCCATTTCTCTGCAGAAGTTTCAACCTCTTGAGATGGGACTGTAGGGTGTTCCTGAAGGTCAGCTTAAGATCAAATATAATCACATGTACAACATCCCCCACCGGCCACAGGGCTTGCCTAAGGCAGACAGGCATGAATTTTCAGGAATACACCAAAGTGCTGAAGTCTGCCAGATGCCGAACTGAGGCATTCACCACTGATAATTATGGCAAAAAGAAATTCCACAAAGGAGGATCTCCAAGAGGACTGTGAAAACCCATAAAGAAAGAGTAGCTAAGACTATAAACAGACCAGAGGCAAAAAATACACTATGACAAAGTCAAAGAATACCACTGAGTACTGGGGATAGAAATGAGCCTGAGATAATTGAAAGGGAGAGCTGGGTTGAAATTATTTCGGGTTACAGCACAGAAGGGAGACATCTGGCTGCTTCAGTCACCCGCTCGTCACAGGTCGGGAGCAGCCAGGGCAACTGGAGAGTGCCAGCTGGGCAGTCATGTGGCCGCACATGGACATAGGCAAGCAAAGAAACCCCAGAGGGCTGAGAGGACACAGCCTTCATATTTCCAGGGCTACAAAGAACAGAAGACAAGGCACACACTTCCTCCATCAAGTGTAACTTTTCCTCAGGTGATTTGTGTGTTTTCATGGTTTCTGCACAAAGTCCTTTCGGACCGAGCCCTCCTAGGAACCCATTTGCCTTTTCTAAGGCTGAACC